TTATCGTTTTCCGATAAATTTCTGTTACATAGCCGAATTCCAATTTGAGTCTTCTACCCTGTATTGTTAAAAATTGCAGTTAGATTGAATTGAAGAACAGAGAGAAACGAAATCCACTTGCGCATCAAAGCTTATATAAAATCTTAAATTATCGTATCAGGATTTCAGAATTCAGATCTAGCACGCTTTTAGTGAGATAATTGCGAAAAATGCCTAAAACTTTTATTAGAGAGTGTAGGGTACATATTTTAGGACTTCATGATGAACTCTCATAACTTTTGATCAAATCATCTTTCAGAACTGGAAGATGTCTCGCCGTCATCAGATTTGTTTGTTCCTCAGTCTAGCATTATTGAAAACCTTATTGCTTCTTTGCTATGTATGCAGAAAATTTTTCAAAAAGTCAGTTCATCAGTCGTTTTAAAAGCTTTTTCAAAATTCCCTCAGAAGCCTTTGATTACGCTGAAGCAGCGTAGATTCTGATTGTGCACACTTTTTTTTTGAATTATCTAACCATGTGCTCACTTAATATCGACTTTTTTTAAAATATCGTCATTTGTGAATGGAAGCGTAAACTCTTTTTGAGAAAAAACGTATTATGATAGAAAAATAGCTAGAGGAAAAAAATTAAACATTATTACTATTGGTACTGTAGAGTTTAAAAGTATCTTTCAAAGTTAAAAGTTAACGATTTTCGACAAAAAGTTACAATAGTTATAACTCAGTTTAAAAGTTATAACTAGCGAAGAGAGAGAAATTTTAAACTCGTCAATTGCTCTATGTGGATGTAATAAAATAGACGGAAGAAAGAAAGGAAAAACGATAAATTACGTATGATTTTTTCTTACTTATTTTCTTCAACTTTTCATTTTCCATATTTAATGAAAATCAATTATTATCGTCGTATTCTAAGTTAAACAGATTGCCATTTGAACGGTCGAGATTGGAAAGTATATAATAAAAAAAACGTCGGAGAATAAAAACATGTTTTCCTTAAATAAAGTATTATTCTTATTCATTTATCAAACAGATTACATATTAGTACATATAGTAGTAGGAGTTACATATTAGTTGCAGGAAATTGCCAAAGAGTACCCTAGAGATCGATTCTTATATGCAGATCTCACAACCCGGGTCGTTGGTTCCAGCCTCAGGATCCTGCCGGATCCAACACTAAAACATGCCCGAAGTTGTTGGAATTCGGTAAAATCTGGCAGCAACCATGTTGGAAATCCATTGCTCGGAATCCGTGTCGAAAGAAGTTGGAAACGATCCGACCGGATCCTTCAAGTTTCAGACATCGAATTTTGCTCGATTTGTCAGAATGTGATCAGTTTTCAGGTGTTTGAAGGCTAAAAATAGCGTTAAATTTTTTCTTTCATTTTCTAGTGGTTCTTCTCTCTGTTCATTCGAGCGAGTGGAAGGACCCACTAACTAGGACGTGTACAACGCGTCTGTTGTATAGTGTAAGCGACGATTTACACCGTTAAGAATTTTAGAAGAACAACTTCTCATTTTTCAATATCTGTAGTGTCGTATTTAAAGTGCTCCGGTCGTGAAATAAAACGGTGAATATATTAATCGCACAGGAAAGAAAGAAAGAAAAAAACAGAAAGAAGTGTGCACCACAGGATCCGTCAATTTCCTATCATTGGAAATTAACGGATCCGGCTGGTTCCGGATATCGGATCCGATCTCTGGATCCTCCAGGAATCATATATCGGAACGCGAAGGAATTGAGCGGATTCCGATCTCCGGAAATCACCGGAATAACATGGATCCGACAGGATCCGGTCGGGCGAATTCGACGAACTTATAAAAATTGTCAAAAAAATTCTTTCTCTAGGGGTGATTGACTACAAAGATGGGCGAAAAAAAACTAAGACCAGAATCTAACTCTGTCTCAACTGATATTCAGAAAGATATTGAAAATGCTTATTTTTTGTTAAGCAGCTAAAACTTTTTTCTCATACTCGAAAATCTGCATACTCGCCCATCTCTGATTGACTAATCATACACATGTATTTTTTTTTCCAGATTCCATTGTACATTATATATACAGAACAGCTATAATTTACTACAAAAAAAATCATATAGAAAAGAATAAAATTTTAGTTAGAAAAAACTCATCGGCTAAAAGTGTCAATTCAAATTGGTAAATTTCTCATTCATTGTACCTTTAAATAAAATGAGAAAAAAAAGTCATATTTTTGCTATTTGAAATTTCACATATTTTCTCTTCTCAGAAACAAAAAATCTATGAGTGTTAAAAGAAAAATCAGTCACTATCATGAAAAAGAATTTTAAAAAGATACATAATGTTGTTTAATATAGTTGGTGAAAAGAAACGTTTCTAGTATTTCCATAAATTAACATAACAGATTGATCATCATTGTTGGTAAAAGTTAATAAAATTATCTCATTGAATATACTATGTTCAATAATGAGAATTAATGAATGGTACAACAATTATAAACTATTATTAATGATTATCAGAAAAAATATTCTCTTTATTACTCAAACGTTGCTAGTATTAAATATATTTCTAATAATTTATTATATTGCTCAAAGATCTGAACGTCAAAAGGATATAACAGGCCTATCATGGTCATGTAGACATCTACCATATAATACGACAACATCATTGTGTAATTCATTTGCTACATTCCGTGGTCCAAAACAAAAAGTATTTTCATTATCGGTTTTTGGACCACGAGAAGAATCGTCCTTCACACATGAACGTAATTTGGATTATTTAAAGTTATTTTTTACTGAAGTTAATGAATTATTTCCTAATTGGTTGGTACGCATCTATTATGATGATCAAAGTACATTAACATTGAATGATATTAATTTATTTGAATGTTTATATCCTTATGTTGATTTTTGTAATATTAATCAAATCTTACCAAATTCACGCTATGTATCAGGTAGAATATGGCGTTTTCTTCCTATTGAAGATTTATTAGTCGATATTGTTAATATTCGTGATTTGGATTCACCCATTACAAAACGTGAACAATTAGCGGTTAACTATTGGTTAAATAATACTACAAAATCATTTCATATTATGCGTGATCATAAACATCATCTATCAGCAATACAAGCTGGTATGTGGGGTGTACGAAGAACGTCAACACAACCTATATTATTAGATAAAATCAAAAATTCAACATTAATTAAAAACTATAAAAGTTTAATGGCAGATGAAGATTTTCTTGCTGATCATTTATGGAAGCGTATACGTGACAAAAATGATATTGTTGTACACGATAGTTTTTATTGTTTTAAACATGGTGAAAAAGAATGTTTAACATTTCCGAGTGAAAGACCATCAGATAAAGAAAATTGTTTTGTTGGGTGTTGGAGACCATGTTGTTTAGAATAAAAAAAGGAAATCTATATTTTATTTTCTAATTTTTATTTAATTGTTAGTAATTAGATAAACGTTTGTTGAACATGTTAAAAAACAGTTTGTTTTTCTAGATACGATGAATAAAACTGATATTAAACAACTTTTCCCGGTGTACAGTAGAAATGTGTTTTTCAAAAGGATGAAATTCTTAGAATTGTTTTGATGCGGTAAACGTATGATCTAGTGCTATAAAATCGGACTATACGAAGCCTCGATACATATCGACCACACAACTATCAATGAATATTGCTAGAGTTCTTAACCTTCATCAACACTTTCACCAGACCTTTTGGATCAACAAAAATTATCGCTCTGTCTATTTATTATAAATATGACGGCTTGAGAATATTCACTCTCAAAGTACTGAGACGAGGAAAAATAAACCGTGAGTTTTGTTTTTGATGTATCTTTTTTACCATTGATATCAGAGAGTCAATTTAAACACCATATTTAGTATAATTGAAAAACATTTTTGTAAAAGCATTTTACATAAAAAGCGAGCTTTCAATACTTCACTGTATCATCATCAGGCTAATATGACGGTCGAATTTAGAGGAAAGATGATTATATACTAGTTGAAACAGGAGACAACGAAAGTACTAGAAAAATCTGTACTAAAGATAAAACAACGTGTGAAAAGAACACAAAATAAATTTATTTTACTTTCCTTAGAAGTGAAAACGAAAATCAAAAATCGAACTCTGTTATGCCGTAGAACTAGGTGTTAGCTACATTTTAAGACCATGATCTCCAGACTTTTAGCGCATTAAATTGGCAAAGAAATCTTAAAATTATGCAAAGCTACGAAGGCAATCGTTTTATAGAGGTTAACAGTTGAACGTTAAAATAAGGAGGATTTACTCTACCTTTTTCTAAAAAAGCGATTTTTTTGGATCGAAATCAGTTTTTCTCATGTAGAAGGGAGCCGTAAAAAAAATGTACGTCGTGCTACTTATAATTGTCATTTTTTCCGCGTGTTTTTGAGTAAAAGACCTGGAGAACTGTTTTTTTTTCGATTATTTTGGATGGAGATGAAAATCGTATTTAGCATGACGATGAGTCTACAAAAAAATGATTTTTTGATATCTTGTCTCTGACAACATTCTTTTCTTTAGTTGTTAAAAACACGCGGACATGAGCACTACTTCAATCCTCGTGTGTGCTATCAACCGTATTATCAAGGAGAAACATATTATATACGATCTTACAAGCTCGAAGGCTTTTTGTTAGAGGTAAAAAAAGGTACAGATCAAACCTTACACGTATTATACAAATTGAAGAGGATGCGTGAGAACGTGGAACCTGACGAACGCATACTCTAACAATAAAATGTGAGACTAACACAGATTTTTTACAGCTAGGTCTAAAAAACCTATGAAAATTTCATCATATATCAGTGATGTAATAAGAATGTTCGTCTATATTTTGGAAGAATTAATACAAATGCTGTTAAATAATAAGAAAAGAAAAGCAGTCAATACTTTTGTTGTATTAAGTGTAAGTATATTTAATTGCGGCGTGATGTATTCAGTTTAACATTATGACAAGATCATTTTTTAAAGTAAAAAAGAGAAAAACTACAGATAAATGAGAGTAGTATTTAAAACAAAACAATTCTAAAATAAAAAAAATAAATAAAATAGAGGAACTATGAGAGTTTGAATTCTCGAATTTGCGTCGACTTGTGGGTAGGAGTCTACTTGCTAATCGAAACTTATTTATTGAAATGAAAAGTGTAATCGATCATTTTGAATCACGAACTACTCCTTCAACGTGCACTAATTTCAGGTACCGTTGTAGATTCTTTTCTCTCATACAGCGGCATGTTCTAACGTATTCTAATGTCGCAGATCTGCAACATTTTTTACATTAAACGTTATTGGTACCACATTGAAAGGATCGAAAGGATGGTAGATGAATTCACAAAAATATAGTACGATGCAGGATGTTGACAAACTTCTGAGACTTGTGAGTTTTAAGTAGTCCGGCGCCCTCTCTGTAGCCGTCACCTTCTTGAAGATGGTCACCCATTTCTTTATCAATCATCAGTCGTAGCTCCGTTCACGAGGGCTATCCTCAGGTGTAAAGCTTTCATCCGTACTGCTTTAGTTACACATACACACTTTTACTTACTAACTGCGTTCTTTATTTATGCCAAGTCATAAGATCCAGTCAGGGAAGCTATATAGTACGTCACAAAAAGAAGTATACTATCTGATGGATGCTCCATAACACATAGACCTTAGTAAGTTACTCAATGTCATTACACGTTTTGATAATGTTCGAACGCAGTATAGTTGAAATGCATAACGCATGACAAATCATGCTATCCATCGATGTATGACTAGTTTCCTATCTAGCATACTCAGCTACACTATCAAGATAGAATGCTATGGTTAGTTGACTTATAAACACTGAAAAAATCTTCTTACTACAGATTCGTGATTAAACTAAAATTTGCGTAAAACACATGAAGAGTTGAGTAAAATTCAAATTTTTACAGAATATCGTTAAGCTAAATAGTGTTATAAAGAGACCCAGTTCGAAGAACGATACGAGAAAGAAGTATTTTTTTTAAAGTTTTTAAAGTGTTTATTATTTTTCGCAATTTTATTCTCGTTTTTTACCTCATCACAACAGCATTGAATTGTCTATTTTGCTTGCATCTCAGACAGATGAGAAAAAAAATAAACTTCAGTTGATATGCTTCGTATCATTACACATCATTCACAGATTCGATGCACATTTTTTCTTGAATACACATAATTCTATTTATCTATCAGATTTAATTCAAAGTACATTATGCTTGTAAATTTTTTCACGTAACAAGAAGAAAAAGAGCAGGTGCTGATGATTATGATCATTATTGAAGACAGTTAAGAGCCTGTATACAATACAAACATCGCTCAGTAACTCGCATGTAGTGATTTTTTTCTTTTTCCCTTCCTTTCTTCATTATTTTTATTCTCATTCTTCGTATACGCCCCAGGCAATAGCTTTAAGTTAAGGGTATCCTCTCCCTTCGCTTTTTCAAAAAACTTTTCATTTTGAGCTGAACATAGTCTAATGTAGAGAAAATTGTGGACTATAAAATGAGGCCATTCCCAGTTCGCCATGATCTTCCTTGAAAAAATTATGAAGTTTTTCCTTCAAAGTTTAAAAAATCTCAACTTTTTAGTTCCGTAAATCTTTCTCTCCTTTCCGATGTATTCAAATTTTTTTCTTATAAATAGCATGATAGAAGAAGGTGTGCTCTTCAAAATGAGATATATCTTCCAGAATTTTCCCATGAGTTTTCGTGGACATATAAGCATCACCGCAGATGGCAAAAACAGCACCTGTGTGCAATGTATTTTTCTCTCCATGTGTTTGTTTGTTCGATAGCTCCTTCAATCGGGTCGCATTACGATCCCTCGAAAAATGGTCCGATTGAGCTGAAATTTTTACCACAGATACCTCAGACCTTATCTCAGGTTCGGTTTTCTTAAGCGTTTTCGCTTTCAACTTTCGGCGTGAGAAGGTTTTCAAAATAAAAAACCGGTTTTTTATACAGAATTTTTAATATTTTTCGAATATCTCGAGAAGGAAAGCAAATCTTTCGAAAAGGAAAAAGGCGAACCTGAGCTAGAATCTAAAGTATCTGTGGTAAAATTTTCATCTCGACCGGATCATTTTTTTTGAGGAGTCGCAATGTGACCGGATGAAAATCGGGATCTTCGGAAAACCTACAGAAGGACATGTTAGAAAATTCTGGGCAAAAATGCATCG